GAAGATCAGAGGTTCAGAAAATAGTATAAAGAACTCAGTAAGAGAAGTGGAAGATACCTTCTGCCTGTTGGAAGCAGTAGCATGCTATACACCAAAGGCCACAATCCCATAATATACCATAGGGAGACAAGAACCTCATTCATCCTAAAGCCATCATCTCCCTTCAAATTCAGGAGCTTTTTAAAAAAATATATGTCTCTTGACTGCAAAGAGTTCAAAATCCATGTAAGCATTTAATTCAGATGATAAATTGATTACTTTAAGAATTTCTAATTCTGTAAACTCATTGCATTCAGCATGATTGGGAGAATATGAACGATATCACATCATCATATCCATATGTTGCATTCCTTCTCCTTTAAATATATAGTTTACCCTCATGAAATACATGTGTGGAGGTTGTTAGTGCTGTAAAAGAAACTATCTGAAGAGCAATGTGTACTTTAAAGAAACTTGGCATTGAAGAGTGTAGTTATAATAAGTTGTCATTTATTTTTGTGTGCATGTGTGTGTTAACATAAAGAAGAGTAGAAAATCATATTGAACAAACTCCAGCATAGAGAAATAGAGATTGGCCTAATAGGAAATTATATACCGGTAGTGCCTGTAAACTCTCTTGTCGATATTACAGAATAAACCAAACTTTAGCTCTAATATTTCAGTTAGGAAAACATTTAAGAAAAAATAATCACAGCAGGAAAGAGAAAAGCGATACATAAATCAGAATACTAAAGCATCCAAGAAAACGCAAGCTATCATGGGCAATAAAAGCTACAATAGCAAATTCCATCTTAATTTCAAATCAAACTAACCAACAAAAAAAAAAGAACCAACAAGGCATTTGCAGAAAAAGAAAATTAAAAAAACCAAAGCAAAGTTGGATTAGAAATACCTGGGTCTGGTCAGGTGTGAGATTGAAAACATAGTACATAAGAGCGCCATACAACACAAAAAGCAAAATCGAGGTTGTCCAATCCCTTCCTTCTTTACCATTATCAACTGAAGACCCTTTATCCCGACTTGTTTCTTCCTCTGAATTCTGGGTGTTTGAGGTACTTTGACATATTTGAAGAACACCCTTTCTGTGAAATGGGAAAGTTAAGGCCTGCCAACTGTGGGGTTTGAGGAATACTGAGGTTCTTTTGGGAAGCAGGAGACTTTGTTGGCTAAGGTTTGTAGCTTGGATTGAAGCGTTGAACTTTGTTGAGTTTTGAGGTAAGTGAGAGAAGTTGCAACAGATGAGGTTGGTGCTTGCCAACATTGTGCAAA